CCCCAAAACCCCAAAACCCCAAAACCCCAAAACCCCTAACTAAGACCCCATCCTTGAGCAAACTCCTTAAAGAATACTATAGCCTTGGATATGACTGAGGTCATACTTCTTTAGCAAAAAGTCTACTTTCTTCTTTGAAAATCTTGAAATTGAGAAGGCTAGGAGGGACCGGTTCAGCGGGGTTTTTGAGATGAGAGTCAGGAGGAAGTCTACTTCTGGGGAAGAGGGAAGGAGGGAGTGTTGAGTTTTTGTGGTGCAGGTGCTGAGGGTCAGGCTGCTGAGGCCGGTTTTTGTAGTGTATTTAGGCGGCTAGGGGAGATTAGAGGGGTGATAGGGGGTAGGAGAGGAAAGTAGGAGGTTAAGTACCTTTTTACTAGCGATTATGGTTCATCTAGACAGGTGTAAGGCGTAATCACTGCTGTTTGCAAGCATTATTTTCGATAGATTTTGATAATTGATTCTGTATCTATCCAATTTGATTTCCTTCTGCACATAAGGAAGGATTTTAAAGAAGGTATGCACATCTAATTTTGAGCTAAAATCTCTTTTATTTATAGACATAATGGTTAGCTTGTTTATCTTTCTTGTACATTTACGAAGAGCATATTCTAACTTTTCTTTCCTCCCTTTGAGAATAAATATTCATTGAAAATCGATCACATTTGCTGGAAAAGATATCGAACCATATTTTCTGGGTGTCTTGTCAAAACTCAGCTTTATTTATTAGAATATTAAATCTTACAACTAGAGCTTTTGCAGGAGTATTCACTGATATTCTTGCTTGACTACATCATTTAGCTCTTCCAAGAAAAACCTCCATACTCTGAGACATCTGTAGGGCTAAACTATTATATCGGTTCATTATAACTTGTTCTTTCAATATATTTTTGCTGTTTCAGTCCTTTTGGTTGTTCTCCTGCCGAGACGATTCCATATTATTTTTATAAATATATATCTTCAGTATTTATCAGGTAGTCTGGGGTTTTGGGGTTTTGGGGTTTTGGGGTTTTGGGGTTTTGGG